GTCTTTCAGTTGTGTTTTTTTTTTTATTGCGGTGAAATAATTCTTTATTGACAATTGCATCGGGCTGCAAATGTCGGGTGTATCCTTCTGACTTCCATCTTCACAATCTTGTATCATGGCAAGATCGTTGTTTAAACACTGTTGTTTTCCAAAGAATTCTTCATTCTCATTCTTTTGGTTGTTTCTGAATTTTCGATTTTAGTTTTTGTAACTCATTTTTAATCCTTTCTTCTGTGACTGAAATAGCTTTTAAGCAGAAATAACGAAAGAAGGTTACCACCTCTATTTGTATTTTTTTATCATTTAATACTAAAGGAATTCATTTACCAGACCCAAGGTTTGTTCTATGGTAATTAAATAACATTTTTTATTGAAATATTTTTCAATAGGTTGCTTTGCTCGTTTAGACATTTCCTTCATTTGGTACTTGTTAAATTTGGATAAGCGGTTTGTTTATTAACCGGAAAAGACTTTTAATTGGGAATCAAAAATATTTGGCCAAGTTCAACTGGTAAAAAAAACTGTTATTTCCGGTTCCTTCAATATTCGCATTCGCAAAGGATCCGCATTGATTATTGCGAATGCGAAAGCGAATATTCGCAACAACCCTGGTACGAATAGCAATAACGCGACTGAAAAACAATAAAGCTGCTGGAGCTGATAGCCTGTCAGCTGAGCTATTCAAGTACGGTGGCGCGAATATGGTCAGATGAACGCATGCCCGACGACTGGAATCTAAGTTTGCTCTGCCTAATCCACAAAAAAGGTGACCCCGCCATTCTCGCCAACTACCGCGGGATCAGCCTTCTAAGCATAGGTTACAAGGCCTTATCGAGCATATTGTGTGAAAGACTGAAGCCTACCGTCAATGAACTGATTGGGCCTTATCAGTGTGGCTTTAGGTCTGGAAAATCCACCAAAGACCACGTATTCACAATACGCCAAATCATTAAAAAGACCCGCGAAAAAGGATCGACACTGACCACCTATTTGTCGCCTTTAAAGCCGCTTTCGACAGCACTAAAATGAGTTGCCTATACGCCGCTATGTCTGAATTTTGCATCCCCGCCAAACTGATACGGCTGTGTAAAATGACGTTGAGCAATACCACCAGCTCCGTCAGAATTGGGAAAGACCTCCCCGAGCTGTTCGCCTCCAAACGGGGCTTCAGAGCTCATTTAACAGATGCCTTATGTGACAACTCTCAAGCAATGCCAAGTATGCATAATAGAGCCTACCTAGGACCTACCGTTGAATTTTGGCAATTTTTTGTTCACGCATTTTTTTCCATGCAAACTATGTTCGACATTTTTTGTGTATGGAGAAGTGCTCATTTTCTAATTTCAACAAAAAAGGTAAGTCCTAGCTACTTAAAATCTCCACCTTGTAAAATTGAATGGGCTACAAAACTTGATACTTTCTAAGAAATCCTATTAAAAAGCTTACATCTTTTATGAAAGTTTGTAGAATTTTTCTAATTTTTTTACAACGTTTTAAATTATGACTTACATGATTTTCCTTAGATAACGAGCTATGTATACTTTCATAAAAAAATAATAAACATAAAATAAAGGAAAGGGCACTAGCCAAAGAATGTTCAAAAATGTGTATTCCCTATTTGTTCAGTTGGAAAGTGCATCAGCATGAAATGAAATGCAATGTGTGGTCGAGCACAATCTCCACCTGATATGGCTACCTTGGTATGATAAATTTTTTTTCCAAGTACTGCGCCTCTGCTTCATTAATCCTGGACCTTGAACTTTTAGCACATTCGTACTAGGTTTGAGAAGTTACTATACTTTAGACCATATTGTCTCTAATGGATTTAGCATAGGAATATGGTCCCAAACGAAGATACTAATAAAAAATCTCAAAATCGTACAGTGAAAATGAAATTTTCTTAACTTAAATAGGAAATTTCTGAAATTGGAATTAAAATTTTCTGAATTTGAATTGTAACTTTCTGAACTTGAATTGAACGTTTCTAAATTTGAAATGGAAATTCTGAATTTTAAATGTAACTTTCTGAATTTGAATTGCAGCATTCTGAATTTAAAATGGAAATTCTGAATTGGAATTGCCACTTTATGAATTTAAAATGGAAATTGTGAATTTGAATTGTAGCTTTGTGAATTTGAAATGCAAATTCTGAATTTCAAATGGAAATACTGAACTTGAATTGTAACTATCTGAATTTGAAATGGAATTTCTGAATATGAAGTGCAACTTTCTGAACTAAAACTGAAAAAGGTGTAGTTACTGGAAAATATATTAATAAAATATTCTCTATATAAATTAAAATCTTAACTATTTGCTCCATCTTCGATATTTGCAGTACACAAAAATAAATAGCGAGAACAAGATGAAGAAGTAGAGCTGCTAAACGAATTACGAATGTGGCGTGGAAACAGGGCAATTCACGAATTACTTAGAGAGCGATTTACGAAGCGTGGAAACGTGGTATAAAGCTAAACGCACATCAGCGAGATTGCGATAGTGCTAGCAATAGAGATAGCGATGGTAATAATTAACGTCAATCGCAGCGATAGATCCCGTTGGGACACGTTTTGATTTGAATACAGTGCTGCGTTCGATTTCTCCCGCTATCTCTATCACTTTCGTTATTGCGCTGGTGTGTACTTAGCTTAAAAATACCAGTCGCTAGAATGGTAAAAGGAAATAAGGACTGGTAGAGCTGAAAACCCAACTGGTGGTATTCGAGTTCACCACTACAGAGTAGCAGGGTATCTACATACTTACATATCTATGTACATTAGGGTGGTCCAAAAACAGTAAAGTAGGAATTGTAATGCTCTCGCCCCCTAGGATTGTTCTATATCGAAAAAAGTATATCCCTATTATTTTATTTTGAAATCAAAAAACATGATAGGTCGCTCAAGGCGTTCAAAGCTTTCAATGTATTTTTATATGGGAAAAAATAAATTTTTTGTTCACAAGCATTTTTGGACCACCCTAAAGCAAATATACTGTATTCACAGTTATTGTTTTCCCAAAGAGTTTTGCTTTATTTAGTTATTTTCAAGTGTTGCGAATAAAACTTCAATCTAAGATTTTAGACATTCGTAACAAAAATTTTAAGAAGAAAATCTACGCTACGTCCTTCTTTGGAAAAAATACAGTGACCCAAATATAAAGTAGTACGCGACATTTTAGCAAGTTTTGGCTATTTTTCTTTATTTTTTTCTTATGAAAATATTTCACCAAAGTTTGTAACTTTTTAATCCGAATCTTTAGCAAAATTTGTGGTATGCAGTTTAATAGTCTATTAAATTTTAGTATAATATGGTGCAAATTTCAAGCATCTAGGACTTACCATTAATTTTTGGCATTTTTTTTTTTTTTATGGCGGCGTTACGCACTTTTTCCATACAAAGTATGTTCGACAATTTAACAAAAAAAAAAAACAAATGCGGAACACCGTCAACAAAAAAAATTGTCAAAAATCATCGGAATGTGCTAGTTACTTAAATTTGCACTTTATGTATTATACAAAAATTTTAAATTTTTAAAGAAGCTGATTAAAAGTTAAAAATTTGGAGAAATTTTAGAAGGTAATTTTAATCAAAATCACAATTTTTTGTTTTTCTGGCCGTCATGTTGAAGTTTGATCAAACCGCTTGCGTTGTGTATGGAAAGTTTAAAAAATTCGCCCGCGGCACTAGTATATTCTAGCCACTAGCGGCACCCCACGCATACGCTTACGGCACACCCTTGGGGAAAGCCTGTCTTAGAGGCTCGTATATAAGGCCGGCTGCACTGAACAATTGCTCACTTTCGACGAATAAAGTAAACACATTAACTAAAATATATATGTAACTATTAATACAACTACGTAAAATTTGAATAGACTGATGTATTTTACAGATCATCAGAAAAAGAGGATAAAGTGCAAACGTTAACAACAAATGCGAACACATTTGATGGCGCCCAATTAAATCTACATATTTCTATTTTCTACAACATGAAGCAGCGTCCAAGGGTTGTTTTGCCTGTAAAAAAACTAAACGTTAAATTGGAACAACCTTTAACATATGAGATTGTGTGCTTAGTGGACGTTAACTGCGCGCTCTGCCCTGTACACTTTCGCATTCGTAAAATATGCGTATCATTTGATGCGAATGCGAATGTAAAAGCGGATGTGTAAAATGATGCGAATCATTCGCATAACAAATGCGTATGCAAATATTCGCATAATCCCTGATATGTACATACATATGATATATATATCCGTGTTTAAGTGACTTGCACCTACTTAAAGAGAGCATCCTTGCGCAGCTTTATTCTTCAACGGATCCCTGTGTAAATGCTCAAGAAAAGCATCCCTACTTGGACTTTTACTTCCGAATTTCCAATGATGGGTATAAATGCGCTAAGCGCATTTCCAACGTTCCTTCTTTTTGCATCCTCAATTCAACAACGCTAACATCAATATCATTCTAATAACTCGCGTATACATTCCTACATATGTATACAACATTGCATAAGCATACATATCTAACCAATCAGGTCGTAAATCAGTTCACATATTGATAGTGTTATCAAATGCATTTAAGTTTCCCTTAATTTGTGAACCCATCCAATCTTCACTTTGCGAAGATTCACTCATATCATTCATTCATTTACATATTTATACACGTAACTTTTTAATTTTAAGCACATTTTATTGTTAATAAAATCAAACTCCTGAATTCCTCAACAAACCTCTTTTTTTAACAATCTGTCTGACAAAACTATAGTATCAAAAACATTATACTAATCAGCACAGAGCAATCCTATTTATAAATAACCAGTTAGTAGTTAGCTGAAAACAGCGTCACCATGTAAAAATTACAAGTTAAAAGCAACGCAAAGTAGTCGAGGCATATCACCCCTACTTGAAAAATAGTGAACTTTTAATGCATGTATAGTTAGTTGAGTTTCCTACAGGGTATGTGTGTCTTTTTTATATATTCGCCATTACGCTATTGTGTCTTACTCACCTCCTTATGGTGCTGTGGCGTTGGCAGGTGGAGCGTCGAGTTGATGAATAGTAACGCTTCGAAGCGGAGCTATTGAGCGATGACTCGCGATGCATGCAAATGGTATCGTTGTGTGGGTGTCGTTTTTTGTGTCGCACGCCAGACCCTTGACAAAACAAGTATCTAAAAAGGTGAAATATGCAAAAGAGCAGCGAAAAAAGCATGGAATGAAAATCAAAATTAAAATCAAATAAAAATCACATACAAACGCTACATGAGAGTGTGGGAGCGTATTGCCAAAATGTTTTCATAGTTAAAAGTCCATGTGGGCATACAATATTGTTCGAAGCGTAAGCAACTTTTTCTTCTAAAATATTCAGAATTCTAAAAATTACATAGGCCTGCGATCGTTTTCGTCTTAAAAACTAATTAGCAATTTGGGTAAGTTTCAGGTGGTGGGCTACCATGGTACAATAATTACAGGTGTTGTCTTCCCCGAGAGCGCATATTCCGATCTGCCTTATTTGAAAAACATCATTGTTGTCCACACTAAAAGGTTATTGCTAGGGGAAATGGCTACGAAAAAAAAATAATAAAAAATTCCAACACATGATAAAAACATTTAAAATAAGTACATATTTTTATTATGTTCCACCATTTAAATTTTGAGACAAAATTAATTTTTTCATTTTTCATATGATACCTAAGGAAATTTCTATTCGGAACCAAAGTTTGATAACACCAGTCTCTGCTTCTTGGAAGAAAGTAAAATTTGTCCAGTGCCTCAGGAGTGCCATGCCGGCTTTCACTATCTCACTAGATTTAGTGGCATAAGTTCTAAAAAGGCTTGTAAAGCGTAATTTTTTTGCTAACGCTGAGTTACCACAATAAATTATATAAATTAATATTGACCGAACTTCTTCTCTGCTTTGTGGTATACGCCTTGATGTTGTCACAGTTTAACGTCGCCTTCGAAAGGCAAGGGGTTTCGACGAGAAGCTTTTTTCATAACAGAAATACACTCGGATGTTTGCCATTGCCTTCAATTGTTTGGATGTTGCTCGGACTAGGGATGGAACCCAGGACCCAGGTAGTGCATATTACTAACCCCTCGACCACGGCGGCCTTGTAAGTGATTCAACATTTTGGAACTACGTATGTGTATCTATGTATAATGATATATTCTTCTACATATATTTATCCGGGTACCACATTGACAAGAGTTTTGTAAATTAGTTAAATTAAAAAGTAATTATTAAGTCGAATTCATACAAGTAGGGGTGTTGCGATACTATAAAAGTATTAATACCAGTATCAAATGCTTTATCGGAAGCTAAGTGTCAACACACATATTGGTATTGGTATCGGAAATAAAATAGCGATATTAAATTTTTTATACAAAAAATTATTGACATAATATGAATGGAGTTAATGAAAATTAATAATATGTCTTTAACAACTGCAGTGCGTAACAAGCAAACAAGAGCTAAACGCGAAAACTACGACGTTGTGTCAGGAAACGCTCTTATTAAAATTAATAAATATAATAGTAGTTGGATTCATGAAACTTCGCAAAGTTGTTGCAAGTGTCGCATTAGCCACCTTGCGACAGAGTTGATTACTTTTGTATGGAAACTTTCTTGCGACATGTCCATAGTATTTGAGCTGACAATCATTGCAATGTCGAAGTCGCGAAACACTTGTTTTTTTATTGTCTTCAAATACTTAAAAAAAAAATATATCAGTTAAGGTTGCTTCGAAATATAAAGTCAATCAATAAAGTTTAGGTAGAGCGAATTTTTTGCTATACGGGCAACTGTTTGTAAAATATCGAACATTTTTTCATATTTGCCAAAAATCATTGGTACTTCAGACTTGCACTATGCGGTTTTAAACTACGCAGCACCAGTGTGGTCGCCGGGGACTAGTAGGACGCAGTGGATGAAGCTACAGACAGCACAAAACACCGCACTCAGGACAGCGACCGGATAGCTCCTGATGTCACCCGAACACCACCTCCATTACGAGGCGAAAATGCTCCCAATNGGCCGGTTTTAAATTACGCAGCACCAGTGTGGTCGCCGGGGACTAGTAGGACGCAGTGGATGAAGCTACAGACAGCACAAAACACCGCACTCAGGACAGCGACCGGATAGCTCCTGATGTCACCCGAACACCACCTCCATTACGAGGCGAAAATGCTCCCAATCAAGGAGCATAACATAATGCTCTGCAAGCAGTTTCTGGTTGGGAGCCACAGATGCGGCCACCCAAACAGACAGCTGCTTGCAGAAGAGCCCTCGCCTAGACACGTAAGGAGGCATCTTTATGAACTGACGGACGAAGTCCAGAGGTTCATTAAGCAGCCTCTGGACCCGTCAGCATACCGACAGGCCCTGAACGGCATTCACAGGGACTCAGTCTCGAGTTATGTAGACTCTAGACCTGTGAATGCCGTTCTAGGCACACAAACACCGGACATTAACGCGACGGTGCTCCATCTGCCTTGGGAGACAAGAACAACAATATCCCAACTTCGCTCTGGCTACTGCAGCAGGCTAAACTCTTACCTGAGTAGGCTAAATGCGGATGTGCCGAATGAATGTCCGGCATGCGGAGAGACCCCTCACGACTCGAAACATCTCTTCGCATGCCCGGAAAAGCCCACAACCCTAAAGGCGCTGTCTCTGTGGATCAACCCCATAGAGGCTGCACGCTTCTTGGGGCTGCCGTTAGTGGAACTCGACGACAACGACTGAGATATCAACCGATCTGGGCGGGGTTGTTATAGCCGCTACAACAACGACATGGACATAGTGCAGCGAATTAAAATACAGCGGCTCCGCAGGCTTGCCATGTCGTTCGAATGGACAGAAACGCTCCAGCTCTAAAAGCAGTCAACTCGGAACCCGCTGGTGGTAGCAGAGGAAGAGGGAGGCCCCCACAGCGTTGGAGAGACCACGTGGAGAAGGATTTGGCTTCACTTGGCATTTCCAATTAGCGTCAGTTGGCACAGAANCCTGAGTAGGCTAAATGCGGATGTGCCGAATGAATGTCCGGCATGCGGAGAGACCCCTCACGACTCGAAACATCTCTTCGCATGCCCGGAAAAGCCCACAACCCTAAAGGCGCTGTCTCTGTGGATCAACCCCATAGAGGCTGCACGCTTCTTGGGGCTGCCGTTAGTGGAACTC